ATATATATTTATATATATTTATATATATTTATATATATATTTATATATATTTATATATATATATTTTTTTTTTCTTCATTCACTTCAACTTTGTTTTATCAAGACAAATTTTTTACTTTTATTGCCATTGTTAAGTCGCCTTGCCAAATTTTGCAGAAACTCCTAATGACTCAATCTATTATATGTTTTTAAAAAAAACTTTGTGCTTTTCTTTTAACTTACTATAAAAGTAAAAAAATATATTTTTTTTCAGCAGAAAAACATTAATATTTGGACTGGTCAAAGTTACAAAAAGCCTCTGCAGAGGGACTAAAGAGCCACAGTTTGCAGACCACTGTGCTAGATGATTGACAGCAGAGGATACTAAGTGGTGCTTAACGTGTAATCTCAGCTATGAAAATACTTGACAAGCTCTCACGTACCCCCTGGATTTTCTACCGTTTCCCGGTTCTTTCGACTGTAGTTCATGCGGAACACAAACGCATCTAGAATAAAGGCTACAATGATGGTCATCACCACCTGCAAACACACAGACACACACACATGCTCAATCACATTCACACAATAAATCTCGTTAATCTGGAAATAAAGTGACGCACAGCCTCACCATTGTAACAATGTAAAAAGTCATGAAGTACAGACGACTCCAGTGGCTCGTCATAGACGTCACTCCTTCCTGGTGGGAGAGAAAACGCTGCCGTCAAACAGCGACATCCACTGATCAGTAAAACTGAAAAGTGCCGACTGCTCCAAAGGAATCTTACCATGGTGATGTACCAGTTGTTGACCACAGTCAACTCAAACAGAGTCACTGAAGGCAAAATGAAAATTTAAAAATGAATTTAATAGAAAAGGTTAACATCCAACATGAGCATCTCATTCAAAACTTATTAAAATAATCAGAAAAATGATCTGAGACAAGCAAAGATGTTCACTTATTTACATTGTATTTAAAGATCAAACTTTCTTGTATTTGTTTTAAGAAAAGAGCTCAAATACTGGTGTGTTCAAGTCTTACTGAAGCGGGGTGGAAGTGGCCTATAAATACATAGAACTGAGGTGTAACTCAAGACTTTTTCACAGTATAGTAAGTATAAGCCTTGTCCCCTTAAAAACAAACAAAATTACCAAAGCTGCTGAGAATGTTGTTGAAGTTATTGAGATAATAGTAGCCTTCTTCCAGGACAGTTTTGTTGCCGTCAGTGATGTTAATCTGCCTGTAGGAGTTTGCCACTGTGCTTGTACTAAGAAGATACAAATACAGAGTTTAATAGAAATAATTATCTAAATGTCTCCAAGTGTTGCACAGTGCAAAGAATGTGGGTTATTGAAGTAAATGAGGAATTCTAAAAAAGTTCAACTCATAATTTTCCACAGATGATGGTTTAGTGACTCACTTGCAGCAGTTGGGGTAAACTACATCAGCGAAGAACTCCATACCCACGATGGCAAAGGAATAATAAAAGATGATTAACGTCAGCCCGAGACTTGCCATCCTGGGGAAGAGCTCAAACATGGTGTCCAACACGTTACGGTACCTCTGCTTTATCTTAAATAACCTGCGAGAGTCAAAACGTAAGGATTTAAAGGACAAATAAAAAGCTATGTTGTGCATAAATGAGAATTTTAAATGAAAGTGCACCGGAGCAGCTGGAAGGGTCTGAGAACTACGATGAAGTAGAAAGGCTCCATATTGAAGGCGAGAGCAATTAGTCCAAGGAAGGCGAATACAGTCACAGAGAAATCAAACCTGGACGAACAGAAGCAAAGTGAAAATTAGCAGCAAACAGAATCTAAACAAACAAATGCACGCGTTTGTTTTTCTGGCTTTACATTTATTAAAGGAGGTATTACTTACAGATTCCACCCAGATCGGAAATAAGCAATTGGACCTAAACCGGTAATTTTCAACAAGACTTCTACACCATAAACTAAAAGTGGAAGAAGCAAAAAGCAGAATTGGTATGGTAAAAAAAAAAAAAAAGAAAAAAATGTATATTAAAATTTTAGTGAGAAATAATGAAGTTATGTACTCACTCGTCAGGAAAACAATGTAACTCCAGGGAACAAATTCAGACCACGAATATCCCCCTGCATGAGAAGAGGATGGGAAGAGGTCACTGCAGTGTTTAACACCTTTCCTCTGGGGGAGTGTGTGTGTGTGTGTGTGTATGAGAGATAATGAAGATATCTTACTGTCCAGTGTGTAAGTCTCAACCAGGATCCACACACCGTTGATGGCCACGACCACATCTGCAGTCACAAAGAAACGTTAGAGACCTGAAATGATTGTTCCCTGTGAGAACAGCTGGGAGAACATCAGCGACACTCACACATGGTATACTGGAAGGCTTTTGACTTAACAAGCAGGTGGATACCTGTGAAAAAAAGAAGAGCATTCAGAAATAAATTAGAGTTTTCATTTTCTGGACACAAGAAACTGCTAATTTCTTAATATTAGCAGAAAGGTTCAAACTGAAACTAAAAAGAGTTTGTCAGCAAAACAGACGAGAGAAGCTGCTGATCAGATCTCCATCAGCTGCGAGTTCAGGTTGCCATGGTGATGTTAGGTGCAGCATCGTCTCAGAGTCAGTGAAAATTCACTAAAAGTTTCTCTTAAACTCATCTGGATGGTTTCTTCTTTTTTTTTTTTTTCAAACCGAAAAAGTTTCATCCATCCAAAGGTCTTCTTCAGCCCGAGGAGCCACAAACAAATTGGAGTCCCACAAGCCCCACCCTCCCATAGTGGAAAAAAAACAGTTTGCTGGTGATAAACTATTGTTTGTTTCCCCACTAAAGGAGTGTGGTGCTTGTGGGACTCCAGTTTTTTGAGGTTCCTCGGACTGAAGAAGTCCTTTGGATGAAGGACGAAACGTCTCTGAAAAACAAAACAAAAAGAAACTGTCCACATGACCTGATTTAAAGACAATTTTTTTTTAGCTATGAATCTAAAAAACAAAAAAGTGTGACATTTGTGTTTTTAGTGAAAAAAAAAAAAAAACTGTAAAAAAATTAAAAAAAGCAGCTGCTCTCATTTTGGATAGAAATTTATTGAACAGTTAATATTTGGAGGCTAATAGTGCAAAAATAAAAACGTTGGTGTGTTGGCCTAAAGCTTACAGTCTAAAAATAGATTTTTTTGTGTTTTGATGAAAAAAATGACGCATGTGTAGATAAAAGTGTCAGTTGTGTGGAAACTTGGATATTAATTCACATTATATATATTCACATTTTATATTATTCCTATTAATTTTCCAGATCCGCCTTTTTCCATTTGACCATCGCTTCTACTCATTTTTATTATCTTTTTCAGAGAAATATAAATTATGCAATATACATTAAATTTTGTTAAAGATATTTAGGAAATGGTGTAAAAACTCATTTATTCAAGGTCGTCTCAGATGTCCTTCAAACAAATCAACCATGTTGGTATTTGAACCATGTTTCTACATGGAATGCGAGGGAGAAGAAAAAGCTTTTTGCCTGATGAGAACGACTCAGTGAAACTGGGCCTGCAGTTATCCCACCCTGACTTAAAGAGTTTTGATTTGTGCAACAAGCAGAAGGAAATAAAATAAACAGAACTTGCCCTTAAAAATGAGGAAGGCTGTGTGTGGAAGCTCATCAAACCAGTGTTCTCCACTTCGTCGTGCCTAATCAACACACATTTACAGTGCATGTATGTGACAGTCTGCCAAAGGGGATGCATCATAAAAATAGTTGTAACACTGCAGCACAAATGTAAAAATAATTACCTTCCATTTAAGACCGATGACCTCATAAAACCTATAAAAGTCCTGAAGACTAGAACAGAACAAACTTCTAATCAGTTTTAACATGATTGATTGAATGAACATGAACATAATGCAATTAAAAGCAGAAGGATTTTAATTTAAACAGAAAAACCTGCTGAACAGTTACCTGAGCATCTGAGCTCCGGATGTGTTCAGAGCTTTATATGTGAGGAAGCGGTCTCTTGCGGACATTCGTGGTCTGTAAAAACGCATCAGACCGTCAAACTGTTTTAGCGACACACCTGTCGGCCTCTGGAGAGAAAATTAACAGCAACGCAATAAATGTGAGAACGGCAGCCTTAACTTTAGAAATAAAAACTCACAGGAGATATAAAAGCACTATACATACCTGTCGACTAACTAACAGCTGAAAGGCGTGGTCAATAGCAGAGCGTTTGTGCAGCAAAAGAGATTTAAACTTCATCTTCTCGACGTCATTGAACGTATCAAACACCACTGCCAGGAGCTGGAAGCAGTACAGCAGTAATTAAAATAAAATCATCTAATGTAAAGACATGTCTTAGAAGTGGTGAGAAGTCAACTATTTGTACCAGGTTCATGATAAAGTAGAGCTCTATGGAGAGATAGACGATGAAGAAAACACAAGACCAGCGGTTCTTGGAGTATGCTGGCATCATCACATCAGGGAAACTACGAGAGAGAAGCAGGACATTAATGAGACACATGATACAAAAACAAATGTTTAAACACTTGTGAGAAAAAGGAGGAAACTCCTGGCTGAAAGCCATGCGTGTAAATAGAACAACACTATCGTGCGTGCTGCTTACTTTGCTGTGGTCAGCAGCACAAACAGGCTGACGAGGCTGTTCTCCAGACTGTTGAAGTACTGCGGTGAGAGGACACGTTCAAGTAAGGACATTAACCAAATGGAAATGTGGCACAAGAAAAGGGACCACCAAAGTCTCCTTCTAGTTGTATAATATGCACAAACTATTATCAGGCAGTCTGAAGGCTCAACATACCGGGTCAGCTGTGTTTGTGGAGAACAGGCAGAAACCTGGGGCAGACAAAACAAATACAAAGTTACAGCAACATCTTCCTGCTGCAAGAACCTAGGTCAAAAAAAGGAATACGATAAAAATTTAACAGCCTTTATATAGATTAAATTAACCACAATCTTACCCAAGATGGCAAAAATAACCATAAAGAAAAGCAGCAGTAGGAGGATGTCAATAAAAGACGGGAGGGACTGAAAGATTTGACGCAAGTTCCTGATTGGATGAAAGACATTTTGTTAATAACTGCAACTAACAGGAAAACACTTCACAAAACTAAATAATTACTACCAGTAAATGTAATATGCAACAACTGCTGCAGAGTCGTAAAGTATCAGTATCCCAGAGTCACACTTTAAACATTTATAAAAGCCATTAAAACTTTTCTGTTTATCAAACCATTTAAATGACTGTAAAATACAATTTAATATACAGCTGCACCATAAACAATTATTTTCAACTGTGAAACACATTTACCCACCATTTGAAGGCTAATTTAAAAGTGAGAGTTTATCTTTAAAGGGTTTGAATAAAAGAGGCCTTCGTTTTTACTGTCAAATAATGAGGTTTAAGAAAATACAAATAAAAAAAAAAATGGTTAACTTCGGTTTTTAAGGCCGTGGCTTTGACACGACGAGTGCATGATTTCACAAGTATCTACTAGATATGTTTAGGTCATCGTGCACCTGCGCACAGCACCACAGTATCTACAGTCCACCAGGAATATCGGTCTAAGAGCTCTGGTCACTCGAACATGAGACGTTTGTCTGATCAGAACCACGATGGCCTCCACAAACTGCAGCAGCAACACACACGTCTGTGCAAGGAGAGGAAAAAAAAAAGAGCAAAATGTTTTTACTAAAAGTCTCATTCCAGACATGCAGATTGTGTCTCAAAGAAATGGTGCAAAGATGGAGCTCTGTACGATACAGTCCTTTCTTACTCCAAGTATCATTTACCTTCATCATTGTCCTCTTGTGCCGGATGAAAGTGTGGAAGCCTAACCATCGTAGTTTCATGCAAAGCTCAAAAGCCACCATAACCAAAGCCAGCAGTTCTAGAGTGGCATGAACCTGCAGAAAATATATACAAATAATTTCTGGTGATAACTGCAAACTAAAAATCAAGTCAAATTTATTCAGAGACAGCAGTAGAGCGAGGACTAAACACTTCAGTTTTCCGATCATTAAAACTTAAACAATTTGAAGCTATCCATGCCTTGATGTCATTAAGACAGAAGGTAAATGGAACAAGAACTATTAGGTTTTAAGGGCAGATAAATCTGAAAATCATCAACATAATGAAATGAAAGGCCATGTTTCCTTAGGACAGATCCTGAATAGAGAAGATAGGGTGAAAACAAAAAGGGTCCAAGAATCTAGCCCTGCGGGACCCCACAGGAAAGAGGCACCGACATAGATACACTATTTCCAACTTTAACACAGAAGCTCCTGTCACTTGGGTAAGAACGGAACCATTCTAATGCTGCACCTGTAATCCCAACCCAGTGTTCTAACCTTGATATAAGGATACTGCTGTCAACAGTATCAAAAGCAGCGGTACGGTCCAGGAGTATCACAAGCTGGCCAGAATCATTTGCTATTACAAACCCATTTGTCATTACAAACCCTAAATAAAGCTGTTTTGGTGCTGTGCAATTGTTTAAAACCAGACTGAAAGATTAAAAAAATTCCATTCTCATTCAAAAACTTGTGTAGTTGAATAAAAACTATTTTCTCCAGGATTTTATAATACTGTACCACAGATGTAAGCAGACTGCAGCAGTTTGTGCTGACTTACGTAGATGTCCAGGCGCAGTGAGGGAACTGCGGGAGCTTCACACAGCGACAGCAGCAGCAGCAGCAGGCCTGTAAACAGCTCCATCATGTAGAACAGGTGGTTGTGGGCAAACAGGTACGCTGCGAGAGCTTTCGGATTTCGAGGGTGAGTGAAGAACTTATCATTGTTCTCTCCTTCCTGTCAATTACATTACAATATTCATTTAAAATATCCTTACTGAGGCAGAGCAAAATTATATTTTAATGACCTTAAATGCTAGACTGAAAATCTTCTGAACAAAATGGTGTAGAATAGAGCTGGGCAATAAGGACCAAAATGAATATCTCGATATTTTAAGATAAATCACGATATACGATATATTTCTTGATATTTTTCTTTCTTTCCATAAATAAAAATATATTTGAGTCAAAGCTTTGTCCCAGTTGTCACACAGGCACATTTATTAGCAGCTGTAACTGTACAAAATAAATGTCTAAAAAAATAAACTATGTACATATATTAAAGTTTCTACACTGTAGAAAGTATATACAAAATTATTTTATGACAATGTGAATGAGTGAACTTGAACTAGTGACAGTGCTGTCTGTGAATACCTGAAGATATATGGCTGCCTCTTGGTAGTTCATCTCCCAGCTTTGCCTCAGTGAGATATTCTGGTTTCTGTTGTTTTGTGGTCCAGGAGTTGAAACCACAGCATTGTTCACAACGTCATAATTACCACCACCATCTGAAATAACAGAAAACTTACATTATTCATTTAGGCACATACAGCAGGTCAACAAAAACGCACGCAGAAACGGGGTTTGTGTTTACCAGTGCAGTCTAGTTCGAACTGTAAGGAATAGCAGGAAATCACTGCTGGACTCTCAATACAGGACTGAAAGTCATGGAAACCAGCTGCCTGTCTGCATAAAGTCTCCATGGATCAGTTTGGATTTGCTCAGCGTGCCTGAGCTGTGTGAAAGCAACAAAGTCCCTGACATCCACGCTGCCACAACACGTGTTTTTCACAGCAGAGTGGTCTTGTTCCAGCATTTATACACATCTGGAGACAAAGATGGGCAAACATTCCACTCAAGTCTGGAGGCAACACCGGAAACAGAGTCACACGCGTGGTCCAGATGATGCAGGAATGTCTCAGTGGTCAAAAGAATACTGGAGATATTGGACACCTTAGAAAAAAGGCATGTCGAACAACAATTGTCATGAGAGCTGCTATCAGCTAAACAACACATGGAGAGTAAAATAAGCCTCCACTGCACTAAATACTTTGAACTACACTCTGGGATTTAATAAGAAAGAGCTGCGCTTGCACTGATGTTACATTGTCTTTTATGCCATCTTCCTACTACAGACAGGATACAGACACACCAGAAGAGGAATTAATCCAGCAGTATAACAGAAACCAGCATAAAAAAAGTCATGTAAGGCACCAAAAATGCTAAAAACCAAGAAAGAACAAGCTAATGCAGGACAGAGACCAGCTATATCTCTTTTAAATGACATAAAATCATTTGAGTCAAAAAATAAAAACAATTCTTAAGACCCCTTTAGGCAGTTTCTTCATGCATACTTTTGCACATTTTACTCCTACTGCTCATCCCTTATACTGCATTTTACATGTTCCAGCCTCAGGCACACAACTCTATACAATCAAACTATATGCACAAGTCCCAGCAGTGCAGCCACAGATGTTTACAGTCCAACTTGTCGGCAGCAGATTGATGTTAAGATGAAACTCTCGCCCAGCGGCAGCCTGCACGCAGTCCTGACCCGAGTCAGTCATGTGCAACTGAAATCACCCGTTTGTTGGAGAACAACATGTTTGGAGCTGATAATGCGATGAGGTCAGGCTCACAGAGACGGACTCCACAGTAAAGCCTTCCAGTAAAAAAAAATCTCAAAATAGTTTTGTGATCATAAAATCAAACTCCACGCTTTCATTCAGGCATGTGATTTGTCATCCAAGTGAAAAAAAATATTTTCCCCACCCCCCCTCAGTGTCCAGATTCAAAGTTCCTCTCATTCCACGAGGCTCCAACAGCTCCGGCAACAAAAAGTTTGACTCTTTCCACTTGTACACCACTCCCACAAATGTCCTTGGAAAATAATAAATAAAAGGATAGTGCTCTTCTCTTACTGAGAATCATTCAGTACACAGACTGCACACGAGCACCAGGGAGGGGCTGAAGGGGGCGCATGCTCTGCTGAACCAGCAGTTCCTCTCTCAAATGGCTCAACTTGTTGCTTACATCCGAGCTAAACAAAAGTAGCAGGCACCCCAAACAAACATACAGCACACGTGGGTCCACAGGACTGACTTTTTTAAAGCAAAATGACCTGGATGTGCAGGTTTACAGCTGCGCATCAACATTAGGAGGCTCACAACTGCATTAGTGCAACTGTGGTAAGTTGAGTTTTATTTACAACATAAGATCTGACATTTTTATCATTTGACATTTGAAGACTAAAATTCTGCATTTGAAGCATCAATAAAAATGAAACTTGTGACGGAAAGAGAACAGTGGCACGTCTTCCTTTGTTGCAAAATAATTGTGAAGTTGAGTACGTGTTTCATCACGTTCTGATGTCAGGTCATGCTGCTCTACAGATACAGGCCTCCAGCTCTGTTGAGGCTGGTGTCCTCCTCCTTTTCTGATAAGCTTTCTTAATTTATATAAATACATTCACTTATTTCTTAAGGCAGATATTTTCTGCTGCTTGAAATGGTCTCATCCCTGAGACTTGGAACGTCTTTCGGCTGCTTCCTTCTTCAGGGGTCGCCACAGCGAACTTGAACAGTGTTCAAATTAGCAGAATATTTCCTGTCTGGAGAATGTGAACGTCATTTTCCAGATTTTTCCTGATTTCCAGGCCTTGGATGCAAAAATTGAAATATCAAATTGATTAAAATCAACAAGCTGGATCCTTCAAGTCTCCTTTATTTTTTGCTGCTATGATACGATTAACATAAGCAAATTTCATACCAGTGTAAAACTGAGGATTAATGAAAAAAAAGTTATTTATCCAAGTTTAACTAGCAAATATAACATTAATAAATGAATGTACGTTTTGTATTTTAGTGCTGTAAAGTTGGGTCATCATCTTTAGCAAAGTTGGATTTTTTTTTCAGTTTATCATAAATATTTCTTTAAAATAAGTGACTTCAGGGACAGAAAGGACACAATATCAATCTGATAAGCTAGCAGTGACTGAACGGGAAGGAAGAAAATACATTGTGGAGCACAGAAAAAAGCTACATGGAATAGAAACATTTAAATTTCTACTTAAACATAGTGTTCGAATAAATGTGCACATTTAAATAAAGAAATGCTGTGTGCTTGGGCGTGCATGCAGTTGACAGTCCATTTGGTACATAACCTTACGTCCTCGATTCTTGGACCCCTTTTGTTTTCACTCTATCTGCTCCCTTTGGGGTCTATCCTGAGGAAACATGGTCGTTCATTTCATTGTTATGCTGATGATTGTCAGATTTATCAGCCTTTAAAACCTCATAGTTCTTGCTCCATTTGCCCTCTGTTAAAATGTCTTGATGACATCAAGGCATGGATAGCTTCAATCTTTTTAAAGTTTTAATGATCAGAAGACTGAAGTCATTGCGTTAGCCCTAGCTCTACTGCTGTCTCTGATCCTGTAAACCTGGACTCTCTTCAGCCATAGCTTGAGCAGTCCATTACAAACCTTGGGATGGTTTTAGACTCTGACTTTAAGTTTAATAAACAAATCAACTCTGTTCTGCAGAAAAACTTCTTTCATTTAAGGCAGATAGCTAAGATGAAGTCAGGGTTGTCCAGATCTGACCTTGAATAACTAGTCCATGCCTTTATTACTAGACTGACTGGCCAAAAAAAATGTTGCAACCAAAAAAAAAAAAAAGGTCACACACTATTTCCTTGGACCGCCTTTATCTTTGATTACAGCAGCATTCTCTGTGGCATTGTTTCGATGAGTTTCAGCAATGTCACAAGATCTATTTTCATACAGTGTTGCATTAAATTTTCACCAAGATCTTGCACTGATGACGAGGCACTAGGCATGATGGGTGCATCACTTCACCTGCCTCTCTTCTTACCCTGATGTGCTCATCACTCTGGAACAGGGTCAGTCTGGACTCAATCAGACCACATGACCTTCTTCCATTGCTCCAGAGTCCAATCTTTATGCTCCCTAGCAAATTGAAGCCTTTTATTTCCAGTTAGCCTCACTGGTTAGTGGTTTTCTTAAGGCCACACAGCTGTTCAGTCCCAATCCCTTGAATTCCCTTCACATTGTGCATGTGGAAATGATCTTACTTTCACGATTAAACATAGCCCCGAGTGCTACTGTTGTTTTTCTTAGATTTGATTTCACCAAAAGTTTAAGTGATCTGACGGGTCCCCACTATCTTTCCAGTTTTTAATAATGCGTCAAACAGTTCTTAACCCAATTTTAGTAGTTTCTGCAATCTCCTTAGATATCCTGACGTATGCTCAATAATCCAGGTAGAAAAATCCAAAAAAGTTCAATCTGGTCCTCTGGACATTCAAAAAAACAAAAACAAAACAAAGCAAAAAACTGTAGAAACGTTTCGTCTCTCATCCGAGAGACTTCCTCAGTCTGAGGTGGTGTATTCAGCTCAGTCTCTTAAATAGCACCTTCTCAGAGTGGATCAACCAGTTTGCTGCTGACAAGCAAAACCAGCTGATCACATGCTCAAGAAGGACCATCAGCCTAACAATGGATCATTAGCACACTGATGGCTGTTTACTGTTCACAGAGGGCTGAGTGATACTAGCAATCACAGCATTGTAAGAGGGGGACAGTTGAACCCGGAGGCCTCCACCCCTGTTTAATGATGGACGATTTCTTTTCACAAAGATGGCCTTCTTTACTCCTCTCTCAAACCATTGTTCCTCTCTGTCCAGGATGTGAACATCTTCATCCCTGAAAGAGTGACCGCTGGCCTGGAGATGAGTGTAGACCGCAGAGTCCTGGCCTGATGATGTTGATCTTCTGTGCTGGGCCATCCTTTTGGCCAGTGGCTGTTTAGTTTCCCCGATGTAAGACTGATCACCCTCCTGACACTGAACAACTTACACAACATTACTCTGTTTGTGCCGGGGGACTGGATCTTTGGGATGAACCAGTCTTTGCCGTAATGTATTTTGGGGTTTAAAAGCCACTGGGACGTTATGTTTAGAAAATAAACATCTCAGTTTCTCTAATACTCCCTCAACATACGGAATGACCACTGGTCTGGGTCTGGGTTCCTCCTTTTCACCTGTTGGCTGACAGGAGTACTGTTTGGGTTTCTTCTCTGCTTCCAGGAAGGCCCAGTTAGGATATCCACATTGCTCTAGAGCCTGTTTTGTGTGGGATTTCTCCTTCTGCCTGGCTCCTGAGCTAGTGGGGATGCTGTCTGCTCTGTGATACAGAGTCCTGATGACTCATAACTTGTGCTCCAAAGGGTGATGGGAGTCAAACTGCAAATACTGGTCTGTGTGGGTGGGTTTGCGGTACACCTCGGTTTGCAAATGTCCTCTATCAGAGACTGAGAACTCACAGTCCAAGAAAGCCAACCTGCCATTTTTTTCATCTTCTCGTGTGAACTTGATGTATTTATCCACAGAGTTGATGTAGTCAGTAAAATGTTGGACTTCCTGAGATTTGATTTTAACCCAGGTGTTGTCAACATACCTGAACCAATGACTTGGTGGTGTCCCTGAAAAGGACGTCAAGGCTCTCTTTTCTACCTCCTCCATGTACAGGTTGGCAACAATAGGAGAAACTGGAGACCCCATAGCACACCCATGTTTCTGCCTATAATATTGCTCCCCATATGTGAAGTAGGTTGACTGCAGGTACAGTTTCAAGAGTTGACACAGTTGTTCTGTGGAAAGCGTGGTCCTGCTGCTCAGAGTGGTGTCTGATTTTAATCTTAAACTGACCACCTCTACTGCATCATCAACAGGAATGCACGTAAAGAGTGATGTGACATCAAAAGAGACCATTGTTTCATCAGTCAAGCATTTGGTTCATCCCAAAGATCCAGTCCCCCGGCACAAACAGAGTAATATTGTGTATGCTGTTCAGTGTCAGGAGGGTGATCAGTCTTACATCAGGGAAACTAAACAGCCACTGGCCAAAAGGATGGCCCAGCACAGAAGATCAACATCATCAGGCCAGGACTCTGCGGTCTACACTCATCTCCAGGCCAGCGGTCACTCTTTCAGGGATGAAGATGTTCACATCCTGGATAGAGAGGAACGATTGTTTGTGAGGAGTCAAGGAGGCCATCTTTGTGAAAAGAAATCGTCCATCATTAAACAGGGGTGGAGGCCTCCGTGTTCAACAGTCCCCCTCTTACAATGCTGTGATTGCTAGTATCACTCAACCCCCTGTGAATAGTAAACAGCCATCAGTGTGCTAATGATCCATTGTTAGGCTGATGGTCCTTCTTGAGCATGTGATCAGCTGGTTTTGCTTGTCAGCAGCAAACTGGTTGATCCACTCTGAGAAGGTGCTATTTAAGAGACTGAGCTGAATACACCACCTCAGACTGAGGAAGTCTCTCGGATGAGAGACGAAACGTTTCTACAGTTTTTTTGTTGTTTTGTTTTTGTTTTAATGTCCAGAGGACCAGATTGAACTTTTTTGGAATCTCCTTCGATGTTTTCTCTGCTTGATGCATGTCAATGATTTGACCCTTCTCAAACAGACTGACATCTTTTCCACGACCACGCAATGTGTCTTTCAACATGGTTGTTGAAGAAATGAGAAGCAACTCATTGCACCAGTTGGGGTTACATAACTTGTTGCAGCTGAAAGATAATCTCCCATGCAGTAAATATCAAACAGGAGGCTCACACCTATTTGCTTAGTTAAATCCAGATGGCAACTTTTCTTTTTGTTGTTCAGGCAGTGTACCTGACTGGACTACTGTAACACACTCCATGTTGGAGTCAGTCAGATCTCCTTTTCGCATAACCAGTGTGTCCAAAATGCTGCAGCTCTGCTGTTATCAGGAACTCGTAGGTTTGAGCACGTCACCAGTTTTGTCCTCCCTACACTGGCTCCCTGTACGTACCAGAATTGATTTTAAATAATATATATAGTTCTTTCTCGGGTGCTGAGATCATCTGATGAGCTGCTTTTGGCTGTTCCAAAAACAAGACTGAAGCCCAGAGGTGATCAGGCTCTTTCAGTCATGGGCTCCAAACTCTGGAACAATCTGCCCCAACATCTGGCAGACCACTTCACTTCACTTCCTGTTTTTAAATCTCTGCTAAAAACTCATATTTTCCCTTGACGTTGTACACAGTCTGACTTAATTTAATATATTACCGCTCTGCGTTCCTGTTTTAATTTTCGTCACTTTTCATAAAATGACTCCCAGTGATTAGACTGTTATGCAGCTGCTGTTTTAAAAGTGCTCTGTAAATGAAGTGGACTTCAGAGAAGTGCGCGTGTCCCCAGGCTTGTGAAGAAACGACTTACTCTGGTCTCCTCTCTCCGTCTCCTCGCTGAGCAGACCGCTGTTCGCTTCGTCCCACGTCAGGATGAGAGGCACGTCGTCGTCAGACTCCATTCTGTCAAATGGATAAACTCGAACCTGCTCTGAATTTCCGCTCGACTTGTTCTAATTTACACTCGGGCTAAACAAGCTGCGCATCTTTGGTGCTATGGAAGACTTAGCTACACAACAAACGCACCTCCTCTGTGTCGAGCTGGGTCAAACACTTTGAATACGCAGCTAGCACTTCTTAAGTTGCGTTAAGAGGTAGCCAAAATAATGTTTTTCCAATTCAGTCTTTGTCTTGTCGCGCAAGACATTTCTCTCGGCGACAGCTTCGAAAGGCTCACAGGAAGACGAGCTGAGGCTAACCGGCTGCGTCCATCACGAACCAGCCGTCTTCTTCCGGGTACAGACGGGCTCTAAACACGAAGAAGGTCCAACACTGTATGTTTAGTTTAATCTACACGGCTAATAGTTTAACTCCGTCATGGTGAACGGCGGCAGAGACGCCTCAGATCAAAGAGATATTAAAAACAAACTCACGACACTGACTCAATTTACGGCAGCCTGGGTGCTTTTCAAAATAAAATACATATATAATCAGGGATGTTTAAATTAAAATCTATTGTGTTTAATTTAATGGTTTTTTTAGGGGGAGCAGTGCATATATGTCTAATTTTTATCACCCATAAAATCTGATATGTGTTGCAAAGTCTAATACTTAAAATTGTAAATAATTTTTTTCAAAATACTTCACCAAGTTTGTTTGTAAAGAAGAACAACACTAATTTGCTGCAACCAGTGAAACCTTTATTTCTATTAAAAATAATAATAATAATATTCATCCACTAAATACAACAGTACACAGTGTGGACCTTTCTTTTTTCAAAGGGAACAAACCAAACTTTTCACAAATCTTAATTTTATTGTAAGGAAGCTTATTTTCAAAAGTAAAACAAAATTGTCACTATCATAAAAAAATAAAGTTAAGGAAATAATCTAAATTATGAAAAAAAAAATCGAAATTATATTCACAAACATTTATGAATATAACTTAGTCGTATTTCTGTTCTTTAGGTTGTTTTTTTTTAACTCATGTCAATTTCATACATTGTATGTATGAAAATGTATTCATGTCAATTTCAACTCATGTCATGTTATTCAATGCAGACATGTTCCTGTTTTTTAGTATTTTACCCCCTTTCATAATGTAGCTTGTTTTCATTTTGTTTAATATCACTACTTTTATTTACTTTTCATTTTCATTCACTCAGGTCTCTCTTGTAAATGAGTCCCCGAGGCTCAATGGGATTAACCTGTATAAATAAAAGTTGAATGAATTTTATATGCTTTTATGACTGTTTATTGTTGTGTGTACCTCATCTGTGTTTTTGTTTGTTTGTTTGTTTCAAACAGGTCTCTCCTGAAAAAGAGTCCTTGTGACTCAATGAGACTAACTTGATAAATAAAGGTTGAATGAATAAAGCAGTAAAGAGTGTGCAACAGATGAAACATGCAGTCAGAATATGCACCTTTATCACTAAAGGAGACGCTCTCTCCTGAGACTGAAGGGGTTTCAAAGGTTTTGGAAAACTGCATCATCAGTCAAGTCAACATCTGTAAATCAGAACGCCTGAGATGTTATAGGCATATGGTTGAAAATCTGCCTTCTGGTGAAGAGAATCCACATGATGTCCTGCAAAAGCAAACATCTTCATCCTCTGTTAAAAGTGCATGATGTCACAGGAAGAAGAAGCTGATTAAGCCTTGAAGCAACTGGAAGAAGAGCTGGACCAGTTAAAGGAAGAGGTGAGACATTATGCCTGTTCCAAGAGTTTGATGGGACACATGCTTTATTTTATCCATGGAGCTGGAAGCTTGTTTTCACCTGTTCAGTCTTTCTGTTATTTCTGTAGTTTAAAAAAAAGACATCCAGGTAGAAGGTTTTGAGGGACACGTGTTGTCATTAAGCTCAAATAAAGCCAGTTTAAACCAAGAAAGAGCTCAATACACAGTCATCTCAACAATTTGATGCTTGGGAATCGACAGTGGATTCTCCAGGAGGTAAATTTAAACAAAGTATCACATTTCTAATGTTCCATATTTTCATATTACTGGTAGTAGTAATTCTGGTTTGTGTTTACTCACATTGTTTTCCCTCTCAGACAGAATAATGACATCCTGGAAAAGATTTCAAACATTTGAAGACAAATCTAGGTACAAACTAATAATAATAATAATAATAATAATAATAATAATAATAATAATAATA